AAAGAAAGAAAAAAAGAATGTTGTATTTATCCATTAAAAAAAAAAAAAACCTACAATATATGCTTGCCCTTATGGCTGACATGAACTTTCAGAAACTTCCATGCACCATATTCAGTGACCAGGTCCTCTTGGGCTAGGTCCCGATGCCAACCGCTCAAGCCAGCAGGACAAGGTCTCTTTTGCATGTTCGTACATCGACGGGTAAGACGCAAGGTGATTTGCACCGGCAAAATCCTCAAATAACACCCTTGTAGCCTCAATACGAACTTGGCTCGTAATGACAACAACACTGAAGAAAATGAACAAAAAGGTAATTGCTCTCCGGAAATTCATCGTCGTAATTATTGCTCAAATGAAATAGTCAGGACAGTTTTTGTAAGAATCGACCTTAAGCTGTCGAAAAGCAGATTATCTCAGATGAAGTATGAATGGTTTGTTGGCTCTGTCTCTCTGCTGGTTGGTTAGCTTTTGTTGGTAGCTTGTAAGTGTGTTTGATAAAAGGTGTGCATAAGGTTGAGGTATTTATATAGAAATTATATTTGTTTGGTCTTCTTTGACTTTGTAGCTTTTGAATGGGATTAGAAGCTTAAGACTAACGGGTTTGACCAAGGCATATGTGAAGAAGTCATGCATGCTGATTCTTTCTTATGCCCTGTGTTCTTGCTGGAAAAGGAGAACACGTGGGTTCACTACGGTTGAATTCGTCCACGGCTATGGATTTTAAATGTTTGGAGTCCGAGAAAAGGAAAATTTGGTGTGTTTATTAGACACAAGTGACGGAGTTTTGTAGTGTACATACTCAATAAACCATTGTACATTTTGAATGAACTATCATCACCCATTAATTTTTCTAAAAATAAATAAATAAATAAAAATGCCAAGGATATGATAGGAAAAACAAAGGAAAAATGTGGGTTTATGATAAATAAGTCCAAGATTTGAAAATGTGGGTTGACTGTCTGTTCTTTTGTTCTTCCCTTAGAATAGGCTGTGCAGGAAAATTTAGAAATAGGTACCTGCTGACGAAATGGCCGGCTTAGTGGGTAAGACACTTAAACCTCCATCTAGGGCTCCAAAAAAGAGGGGTCCTAACTTTATTTGTAGTTTTTATCAAGTTATTTTATTTGGTTCATTAAAATTTAAGATTAATAAGATTCATACATAGCAAAGTACATAAGAAAAAATGAGGGCGCAACTTCTCTCTCTTCATTAATGGCAACACTTCTCTTTTTTCATTAATGACAACAAATACTTTCACATAATAAAAAAAAGCATACACCTACCCCACCAAAAATACCCAATGTGTGTGTATGTCTCTCTCTCTATCACACATTAATTGCTAGTTTCACTAACAAAAAATCTTAGGGCTAGTCTGTCACCGCTCTATCCCTCCATAAATAAATATACGCATATAGATCATCTTACCCCCTATGTTAGATTGCAATGTCATTAAACTTCTTTTATTTAATAATTTTATATTTTTAATAATATAATTTAATTCAATTTCATTGGTCTTCTTATNATATGTCTCTCTCTCTATCACACATTAATTGCTAGTTTCACTAACAAAAAATCTTAGGGCTAGTCTGTCACCGCTCTCTCCCTCCATAAATAAATATATGCATATAGATCATCTTACCCCCTATGTTAGATTGCAATGTCATTAAACTTCTTTTATTTAATAATTTTATATTTTTAATAATATAATTTAATTCAATTTCATTGGTCTTCTTATTGACGAAGACCAAACTTAGAAGACGATTTGAAATACAAATAAAAAATCAAAGTTTATATAAAATTCTATTTATCAGCTATTATTCTTTCATTTCATCTAACAATATTCTAAAGAAATTGCAATGGGTTAGTCATGTTATCAACTAAAAAACATTTATTAACATAATTTGAATATAGAAACTTAATTATTAATTTTGCATCAAAAAAAAAAACNGAAATACAAATAAAAAATCAAAGTTTATATAAAATTCTATTTATCAGCTATTATTCTTTCATTTCATCTAACAATATTCTAAAGAAATTGCAATGGGTTAGTCATGTTATCAACTAAAAAAAATTTATTAACATAATTTGAATATAGAAACTTAATTATTAATTTTGCATCAAAAAAAAAAAACTAGAACAATAATTTTTAATAAAATTTTAATAATATATCTTATATATTTATTATTAATTTTAAAGGACTTTATTTATAATTTTCGCTTAGGGCTCAATTTTTATTGGGCCGACCCTTCCACTATTTACTACGTGCAAGTAGAATTGTAGATGAATTGCAAGTTTTCTATACTGAATATGAGTTTTATTAATGAATTATATTTGAATAAATCAATGACAGAACCGAATCATATATATTTACAATTTTTTGATCAAATTGAATTTAATTCACGACTAATTAAACCGTTAGAATTCAAGTCTAATGGTTAGTTGGATTTGATCAGTTTGGATCGAATATTGAAATCGATTTTTTTATTTTTAAGGGGTTTGAATACCGAGTGTAAAAATAAAATTTGGCGAATATACTTGCCCAAAAAAATTGCTGAATATACAAATAATTCAATGTAGATAGGGCTTTTAATATTTGATTTGGACTTGTTCAATTTGTTGGAATCTGATCTCTTGACAGCCTATTTCCAAGCACTATCCTACACCCTACTTCTTCCCTTCTTCTTTTTTTTTTTAATTAAATGTGTCTCCATGGAAAAGAAATTCATATTTCAAATAATCATAATGATCAACCTCATTACCATATATGATTTTCTCAAAAGGAAAAAAATGGACAGGACAAGCTTAGGCCTTCCAGTGGTTGGTGATCTAACCCTTCATACGATAAGCTTATATTACATCAAGCAAAGTTGCAATTGTTTATCAGAGCAAATTGGAAATTGAACATTATCAGGCGAGGCAAAGTCATCAAACTATAAGACGATTTTCAATGTTTTATCACAAGGGAGACACTGGATAATACTGATTTCCTTCTTTTTAAAAAAAAAAAAATCTTACAACTTTACAAGGAAAAGAAAAGCATGTTCGCGGAGTGGGACTCGAATCCAGTGATGATGTATAAAGTTGATTATGTAAGATTAAATAAGTCGAATGTGTGGTACAGAGCAATTAATAAAGCAAATAATAATAAGAGACAAATAATGGATAATTGAGTATGGGTGACCTAACCGCTAAAGGCGGCAATGGTAGGCTGAGAACTCTATTAATGAGAGAGTGCAAGGTAATAGGAGAGAGAGAGCAGGAGTACAATCAAGGTGAAGTTTGTATCCCTGTTTAAGGAATTTATAATTTATAGGCACAGTGTCTTAACTGAGGCGGTGAGTGAAGGTTAAGCTACTAATTTATCGGGAAGAATAGTTACAATTGGGGATGGGGGACACTATCTTAGAGTAATAACTATTTCAACCATTACTCTCCCACGTACGTTGACTCTTCTTGGACTCTAAAGCTTGTGATTGGACTTAGATTTTGAGCTAAGTTTGACCTACCTTTTTAATGATTTGGGATTAACCCATAGACTAGGTCCAAACCTGTTTTGGATCTGGGCTCATCACCCACTTCTCTTGTGCGGGTTGGAAGTCACTAGACAAGCTTGAGGAATTTGAAACTCCCCAACCACTCATAGTCGGGTGTTGGTTCCTTACGAGGTTCTAAACTACTATTTGTTCACGTAGGTTCAAAGTTGAGGGTTAGTATGCTACTTATAGGAAGATTTCATTCAATATTGATATGTCAATATACGTGTTTCCTAAAGCGATGTGGCCTGGTGAAAATTGATTAGATATGTTGGGTATGAGATATTCCTAGTACAAGTTGGTATTCTATGAATTATTCATTNGCTACTTATAGGAAGATTTCATTCAATATTGATATGTCAATATACGTGTTTCCTAAAGCGATGTGGCCTGGTGAAAATTGATTAGATATGTTGGGTATGAGATATTCCTAGTACAAGTTGGTAT